TACGAGATATGATCCAGAGCTGGTTGCAACGCACACAAAGTGAGTTTTCGTCCTTATCACCATTTGAACACCATTATAAACTACTCTTTCTAAGTTAAAAATGCGTAGTCTCAGCCATCATTTTATAATATTGACCTAAACCAAATTCTTAAGGTTGATAGGTCAGGGCCTCACGGTAAAAGCTCACAAGCTGTCCGAAGTAGAGGAACATATTTTCGATCCCAGCGTCCAAGTTGTGTCTATCGACGAAGGACAATTCGTAGGTTATTTTCTGGTTTCTTTTTTGTGCACAGAATTTTTTTAGTTTCATCAAAATCTTAAAAAATATCGGCACTGTACGGCTGGGGGGAGGGAGTTTCGCACTTTCGCTTGTCGTGTTAATTTACCGTGGGACCTCGGTAGTACCAATAGACTATTGTCGGTTGTAAGCGAAGTTCATGTCACTGCACCGTCATGCAGAAATTCGCAGGTCTACATATAAGGCACCAGCAGTGATAGATGGGAACCATTTGTATGTCCCCACCAAGCCAAACTGCGTCCAAATAGCTTTTCAGAAGATGTGGAAATAGCTCTAGTTGTCCCTACTTGTTGAACCAGTTTTGAAAGTTGCACACGGCCAGTTGTATACGGCATGTCCACGCCGGAAGGTGCGTTAGCTAACTGTCTCCACCCACACGAACATCGCAGGATATGCCTTTAAGGGTGAGGGGATAACTGCTTACTAATTCTATGTAGGGGTATTACTGGAACATTTAAGAAAACGTGGTTATAATTCCATGATCGACTCTCCATTAATCTCGGCATGATGACAGCAATATTCACAGAACTTTATTCAGCAATCCGAGATTGTTATAAGTCCTTTAAGTCCTTTACCAGACTGACGTTTCGGCAGTATTGCCTTCTTCGGAGCCAGTGGTTCCACCGTTTAAGCGGATAGGTCCGCCGCCACACTAGAGCGCTGTTAGTAGAAAAAAAAGGTGGTTATAATGTTTAGTCCACGGATGCTGATATCTCTTACCATTTGATAGAACTTAACAAAAAAGTCAATAATTTCGGGTTACTGTACAGCAAAGGATGGTCACTCGTCAATCGGCTCATTTCTACCTATGCGCCGTGTACCCGAGTTCCGGTCGTAAATGAAGATGCGGGCATTTGTGTGTGTATGGGGGCTGTACACTGAGTTGTGAGGTGGGAGACTAATGAAGTGACCTCGGAAGACTGCTTCACATCTTCTCAGGATAAGAAACAAAACTCTCGCTCTTCGAATATCTTTCTATATAGTTTTTCTTCATTTTTTCCAGTTCAGCAGCGCTTGTATGTTCTAATTTCTTGTTGTTATTCAGTCTCACTGATTGTGCGAAACATGTGACAAGGTGGAATGTGTTGTGAAGGTGGTGTACGTGCCTTGAGGGACCTTTAACGAAAGGTATAGCTTTTATGTCGTGCCGTCAGTATAGCTGACAGTTGAGAGATCTTCCAAGTATGTGCAGATATAGTGTTGCGGATTTGATGTGTGCAATTGGCCCACTTTCACGCGCGACGATCGTGGGTTAAATCCCAGGTGGCTCCTCCAGACAACTGCCTTCTTTTTCGGTAAATGGTATCAAACCCGGTGACATTAAGCACAGGATTGTATATCCGCGCTCCTCACGATTTTTCGTATAGGCACATCGCTCTTCACTAACCACTGAATATTATGAATGGAAGTATTAGGCGGGAAAGTTCTGTCACATTTTTTCAAACAAGGCTTTCTTTTTATAGAGAGGCGTACAAGATCAAAATTATACAGCAATGTCATTGCGGAATCCCTGCCAGTTTTCGAGCACTTCGTGGATGCCATCGCTTCACAATGGAGGCTGGCACGACCAATGTTTGGCATCAACTTCTCAACCTGTTGACTTGGGCTCAAGTCGTGGAGGTTTTCTCGGCTGTGCAACGGTTGAATACAGGAGTTGACTAGCAGCCAGAAAGAGCAATGTCTGGACTACATCATTGCAAGGGGAGAGCCATCCAGCTCCATTGCATGAAGTACGGCTCGAACTTTTTTGACGGGGTGTGCTGCACCAGCACGTTGAAGACGGACTGTGCCGATGGATTTTGCCCTCTGCTTGACGATTCGCTTCAGATCTCGTAGCTGCCTTGCGTACGGATTAACCGAGGAGACAGCTTCTTTATACAGTAGTTTCCCGGCCCACAGCTATCTCAAGCTGAGATCACAGGTACTCCCAAACATCACTTCGCCATTCGCACCGTAGCCTCCCGCTCTGAAGAGCCAGCGTCGTGGAAGATTGTCAGATGACTGTAGACATTGTCCATGTGTGCAGCTCCTTCGTCACATCATTTCTGTGCAGCCCGTCTTGGCGTACAGCGTCTGCTGCGCCAGGCGTAGAAAAAGAGTTTGAGGAAGCACTTGGAGGGGTCGGTGCCAAAGGTAGCGGATAACATTCTTGTTCATATTGCACGATAAGGAGAGGCAGGAGTCAAGCCAGTGATACCAATAGAAAGACCATTCTTTGATGTATAAGTGCTCATATTACCGGTTAACGCTTTTCAGAAAATTAGCAAATATTTTGGGTTCAAAAATATATGACAGAACTTTCCCGCCAACCTAATAGAATGCGAGCCGCATCCTCAAAAAGGGTTTTTCGCGAAGACATCATTTCCTTTACGAGTCTGTTGCGAAGAAATGACTACAGATTCGTGGAAGACTTGATTGGTCTCGGGGTCCAATCCAGGATTAGGGCACAGCACTTGGCGTGGGATATGTTATACTGCACCATTTCTACTCCTGAATACGCTATATGAATAAATTTCTGAATCAGTCCAATTAACAATGGAGTATTCATTCCGCTCAACCGAGTCGGTTTGATTTCAATGTTTTATTTCAGCCGTTCCCACAAGTGTCGTTACTCCTGCCGTATGCTGACGAGATCAAGCAAGTCGTTGCAGTATGTATGGGATGCGGTTCTGATGCGAGCTACTCGTTCCGAAACACTCTCGACAAGAAGGTAACGCTTTTCTATAATTTCTGGGCTATTTTAAGAGGATTTGAAAGATGGTCTACCACACTTGGCTTCTTTCTTGTACCGTTTTCTTTGCTACAAATAGTTGAGTGGTCCCGTCAGAGGGGTACGCTGTAGTTCCACCGTATAGTTTTATCCTACAGTTTCCGCAATTTTATGAAGTAATTGGCACTATTTACCTTTTCCTGCCTGAATCAGAAAAGATTTCCAACAGGGCCAGTTTTTAGCGACTTTTTTTTTCTAAAGGCAGATTTGGATGCAAGGGTATTTTGTCGGGGGTGAGAGGCTATTTTATCCTTAGTTTAACTTGACACACTGAACGCGAATGTCATGTACTAGTGCACGCGCCGCAGGCGCATCTGCCAAAGTATTCTAGATCGCAAATGTCCGTGAGAACTTGTCTGCAGGAGTAGTTGGACCTTCTGAGTAAGAATATCACAGATTGCTTGGCTTGGCACAACTAACGCAAAACCATCTGACATCGCCTTGTAGGAACGACAACAGATGCATCTTCTGACCCCTGTGTGTAGCATGGACCACACGGTTTTGTGCAAGGGCATGGGGCTAGGGCATCAGGGAAACGGCGGGCAAGGCATCCTTTCGAGTTGTCTACGTTAGTGATCCTTCCTTTGGAAAAAGCTCAGTCTTACCTGAGTTTGGATCACTATTTCGGGGTAGGGGCAGACGAGCAGTAGGCAGTGTTCAGACTTCGCGACGGCAGCGCTTCGGCGCGATCGATGCGCATGCTTTCAACTGCATCGATCGCGTCGAACGCGCGACCGAAGCGCTGCCGTCGCGAAGTCTGAACGCTGCCGTAGGTAGCGCTGTCACTTGTACCCTGCAGCGCCTTCAACTCAAATGTACTAAGAGATGAGGAGCAGGTTTCTCGTACAAGGAAGGAAGGATTGCTTGAGCGCGGGGACTGTCTTTGATCTGTTCCGCATGGGCGTACCCAACATGTACAGTCCTCATCATTGCGGACCGGTGGGGCGTGTCAGTGCGGCTGCGTTTGGCGCGGTGCCAAAGTCGTTCTGCACCAGTTGTTGAAGCGGGCAAGTGACATTACTGTATTATATCCTTCGTATTACTCGTTTTCTACCACTTTTTGTCGCATACGCGTTTCAACAAAGGCTGAGAACGGCTTCAACAGTGTGCACACTCATACTGGCTGACACGCCCCACCGGTCCGCAATGATGAGGACTTCAAGCAATAAATAATCTACTTTCAGGTGGAAGTGATTGGTGGCCAGGACACATATCGGGCGTTGTGTCGGTCTTGCTATATCGATGAATCTTGTCGACGTGAAGAAATAACGACGGAAATGGCAATTAACGAGAATCGAGCGATTGCCAGCCATACATGCAGAGAAGGCGATACATCGCCGTCTGAAATACCTCGTAAGGTGTTCAGGCTTCAATACCATTCCGATACATAACACCCCTTTTTTCTTTGCCTTTATGTGCTCTGCAAAGGTTTTCTTTGTCTTTCTAAAAGAATTCCATATCTCCTCACTTATTACAACACCTCAAGCACGATAGCGTCGTGTTCTTTCTGTGCCATGCGGATATTAGACTTTTTCACTTTTGTCGTGTAATTCCTTCAAATTAGATGGTGATCAAGGATTTAGTTGGTATGTTAACTGTCATTTTGCTACATTTTGCCATTTGTTAGTTGCTCAAAGCAGTAATACCATGGTATATTAATAAACTAAATTATATGTAAAAGGAGAACTTGTATTTGGGCGCATCTGCGGTCCGTTCACTTGTCACCTGTCTTTCTGGGCCACTCACGAACAATAAATGGCTCTTGGAGTTGATTGCGCAAGCATTATGCTGCATTCAGCGCATTCAGTTGGTTCCGCGATTTAGGGACAAGCTGGTATTCATGGCCTTCTCAGTGGCGATCCCGATCGTTTAAAAGCCCTCACTTCCATTCGTTCTTCAACAGTGGCAGGGTGAAGCCACAGGACGACTGTCAGCCTGACTGTAAGGTTTCTTCATAAACGTTTTGCACGAAGAAATGTATGGTTTGGTGCTGAATCCGGTACAGTGCTGTGGCTCGCAACAAGGACAGTGGTGACGTTGCTGGTGATGTTCGATGAGGGGTGTAGCTGGACGTCAGGTGATAGGTTAGCCTGAGACGGTGCTTGGCTCAGGTTGGTTCGTTTAGGTCCATATCAGCTAGCCCCTTTCACGGTGGAATTATAAGAGGCGGATTTCTTCAGTAGGAAAGTGTCGGAAAACACGGGCCAGCGCCTTTATTTCTCTGTGGGCTATGTAAAAGCGGAATTCACGATGAGCGAGCGAGAAGTTAGTTGGTAGCTGGTTGGTATGGGGTTCTCGGGCGAGAGGGTAGTCCAGAGCGGTGAGAGAGCACGCTGTTGAGTAAGACATCTGATTAGATATCTAGCAGCGTGGGCGGAGTCACTCTGACTTTTGGCGGAGCCTGTCCATAATCCTCGCCTTCGAAGAGCTTGAATGTTCACACGTGCCTTTAACATACAAACAGTCACCGACATGAGGTGAAGAACCGATAAAGTCTAGTTGTTTCACGCGGCACTTCCCCTGTTAGTGCCTCAGAGTGTTACCGGAGGAGGGAAAAACTCACCCGGGCTCGTATGCGGCGCGGTTTTGACGTCAGCGCGGCGGCAGGGCGGAGCGAAGGGCGCTGGCCTCCGGAACTGTGCTCCAATCGCAACCGCTTTTATGTGGAAGGACCAAGAGGGAAAAAAGAGAGAGAAGGGTGATGAACAGAGTGGATGCTTACAGGTGAGTTAGTGGTAGTGGTGAGAGAATACAGAAAAGTCGACTATCAGGGCGAATTACTTCAGTAAATGGCAAAATGGCGAAATAGTTCCCTTCGATTATGGTAACGACGTAAGCAGCTCCTACGTAAACGTTATACCGTTATAAGGTCACAACTGTTGGCAATTTGCCAAACAACGTTTTCGTAAGAGCTGCTTGCGTCGTATTTACAAGTAATTCGCCCTGATAGTCGACTTTTCTGTATTCTCTCACCACTACCACTAACTCACCTGTAAGCATCCACTATCTGTTCAATCATCTTTCTCTCTCTTTTTTCCTCTTTTTCCTTCCACATAGGCTGCTGATTGGAGCACAGTGTCGGATGCGCAGGCCATCGCCTTTCGCTTCGACCTGCCGCCACGATGACGTCAAAAGTTTGCGCCATGGGCGAGCTTTTCCCGCGGAGTCGCGAGGTTAACATAGGTTTTTTTCTGAACATTTCCATTCATAAGATTGTACTCGTGCCTTGACCACTAAGATATGACAGTCTTGATGACTGTGGCGTTGCCGACCTCTTCAATCGCTAAATTTGTTGGGTGTGATTAACGTTGAATCCCTCGTAATTACAACATGGTGCGAGGTACACTGCAGACAGGTTGTGATGTGTTCTGCCAATGAGGTTGGTAGGTGGAAGACTTTATTAAAATTGGCCTGACGTTGACGGGATCGTCGTCCTCAGAGGCCCAAACATAACATAATAACATAGCATAATGCCGAGGTTTTATGAAGAAGCTGGACACTGCAGACAGGCTCCTCATACCCGAGGCGGAGTAGGAATGGCTTTTAAACATGTCATAGAACTGGTTGCTCGTGGGATATCCCAGTTTGAAACAACTGCCACCTTGTTCAGTGTGGGACAGGGACATGATCACACTTGTGTCAAAACGAAAATGTCTTACCAAAAGCGCAACCACCGTACATTTAGTTGAAGTATGCAGCCACGTCTACCACATCTCAGGAGTTTCTCGTGTACCGTTATACGAATGAAATCAGCAAATTTATTAAGGCTCCCGGGGCTCACTACTACCCTCCAGTGCCCTTCCTGAGCACATCTGGCCCACTCACATATCACGGAACGTCCTTGGCGGTAGGTGCACAGTTTGGTCTTTAAGATGAACTGGTAATATTCATAGATGCTGTTCTGAAATAAAACTACAAAAAACAGGGAATACTCCGCTATGCTTGCCCCTAGTTTCCTACAAATCGATGAGATTGCATGGTGATGCACTCCTGCGGCTTCATTGATATGCTGAATGAAACTGCATGAGCCGTTTTTCCACTACTTTTCTGTCAGCTTCATAATTTTGATATTCGAGGTGTGCCTACAGTTTTGCCACGCTTGGGCTAATGCCGTTTGGACTCCAGAAATTTCGGCTGCGAGCTCATTTTCAAATTGCCTAAGTCACCAAATCCACTAAAAACTTGTATATAGGGGTAATTCAACATCCTGATTACGAGTATGACACTCATTCTTGGCGCTGGCGCCAAGAGA